CTTGAACTTGTGGTCCTCCTACCTCACCCTGCAGAGTGCCGGGATTACAGAGGTGTGTCACCACACCTGGCTCCTCCTGTTCTTATGGTCTAAGAAAAATATTTATTGCTGCCCCATCCTGGCTCATCCTGATGCTAAATGCTGGGGAGACAGTGGACATGAAATAGTCCTTACTTCATGGAACTAAAACTCCGGAAGGGAAGAGGCAGATGAATAGAAGAATATAAGTAAGTGTGAAAGTGTTATTATAGAAGGGCTGGAGGTGTAGCTCCGCAGTAGAGCGCTTGTCTTGCATGCCTGAGGCCCTGGGTTGCCGCCCCCCCCCCCGACTCACACCTACACACACACACACACACACACACACAACGAACACTGTGAGGGAGTGGGAGCCAGGCAGTGCAAGGAAAAACATTCCAGACAGGGAACAGCCCAGACAAAGGCTGGAGGGAGGAGAAACCATCTGCCTTCCCTCCCAGGCTGGGAGTTTCCACTCTGTGCCTCCTTGGGTGCCTTGCAAACAGGTGGTACCCGACAGACAGATGCCTGTTGGGGAATTGATCCCAGAGGGAAAGATCTGAGAGGAATCAGGTCCCCAGAGTCCCCTCCCCTGGAGTGGAGCAGCTCCGCGCGCCCAAACTTGCCCCCACATTTAAGCAGCTTTCCTTGGTCATAATCAGGAGGTTGGGATTTGGCAGAGCCGTGCCAGTGTTTCCATGAGATCAGGCAAAGCCACGGTGACCATGAGGATGGGCCCTCCTTCCACCCTCCTGGTGGGGCTGGGGGCTGAGCCAGGAGCCCTCTGCCTCCCACCGGATGCAGTATTCTTGGAGAGACTCTGCCACCCACCCTGCAGTTTGCTGTTTGTTGAGGGCTCATTCTGTGCCAGACACTGGCTCAACTCCTAGACTTTGAGCCAGGTTCTTAGGAAGCCAGAGGTGTCTGTCTGGGGCAGAAGGGAAGGACTGGAGACCTTGTCTCAGTGCTGGGTCTCACCACCCTGCTTGGGACCCTCCCTCCTGGCCCCTTCCCTGGGCCACTCTCAGGCTGCTCTGATGCCTGCAGCGCTCAACACCACTGGTCATGCCTGCTGCTTGGTTTGTCTGGTTTATTCTGTTCCCCATCAGAGGGGCAGCCCCAGGAGGGACCTCTCCCGGTTTTGTTCCTAACTGGCACAGAGCCTGGTGCACAGTGGGTCCCCAACATACTTTTGTCAACTAAATGAATAGATGAAGCGCTCCTAATCCTGCTCCTTGGGCCCTGGGATTCAGTTCCTCCCTCTGCCCACTCTGCTCTGGCTGGCATCTGTGTGCAGACTCTAGTCTGGTGTATATATCTTAAACCAGGGTTTGGACACTGGAAACAGCACATTTGGAAACCACTGCTGCGAATGCACACAGTTGGGAAGATGCCGGGAAGTGAAATGTTCACACTCTTGCCTGGTGTGGCCCCATGCTGGCATAGAGGGCCCTGTGAGCGCACACACACACACACACACACACACACACACACACGCATGTGCACACGGAAACCCAAGACACAAGAGATGCTGTGACCCAGCCCTGGCCCCGCCTTCTCCTCCCCACCTCCTCCACTCCCCTCCGCCCTAGGCTGGCCTGAGTTTGGAATGTGTAATCACAGGCTTCAGGGCAAATTAGAACCGGGAGTAAATTCTGTCCCCAGCCACAGAGAGCAGGGCAGCTTTAGGGGAGGGAGTTGGCACGGAGTGGTAGAGCTGGCCTTGTGCAAGTGCCGGTGTACGTGTGTATGTGTACACACGTATTTACATGTGAGTGTATGGGTACTATTTGGGGTGGGTGGAGGAGCCCAGGGATAGGAGTTCAGAAACCTTTACCAAGCCATTTACTCCCCAGGTGGTCTCAGCCTCAGTTTCCCTGGCCATGAAATAGGAGCAGTAGCTAGCTTTGCTCACCAGGTTCGGGGGGATCAGTGAGGGAGAGGCTGGGAGGGGGCTGGTGGATTTGGATGTGGCCTGTGACATGCCAGGGTGTAGCCCTGCAACCTGTCGGTGGGGGAGGGGAGCGGGCCGACAGGTGGATCAGAACCGATCACAACGGTGATGATAAAATATGACAAGAAGCAACCTTTGTCAAGTGTTTATAGTTGCCCATGGGACACTGGGCCCGCCTCATGTCGCAAAAGCCATACTAAATAGGAGCTATTATTCCAACCTGTTTCACAGGTAGAGAAACTGAGGCTCAGAGAGAGTACAGTGGACTGATTGTAGCAATCCTTCTTTCCCGGGGTGGCTGGGAGTTGTGAGTGAGATATGGGAAGGGCTCAGTGTGGTTCAGGCTCCAGGCCATGCTCAGCAGACTGAGGGGTTGGGTACCCTGGGCTCTGCAGCCAGCTGCTTGGCTTTTAATCCTGACTCTGTTGCTAACCTGGCCTTGGGGAAGTCACTTCAGCTTCTCTGAGCCTCAGTGACCTCATCTGTAAAAAGAGAACCCCCCCCCCCCTCCGCCAACCAGGGATTGAACTCAGGACCTTGCGCTTGTGAGGCAGGCATGGCACCACTGAGCTAAATCCCCAGTCCTCTAAAAGGAGAATTATTGCATTACCTACCTGCAGGGCAGGGTTTCTCAGCCTCAGCCCCAGTGGCGTTTAGGTCTTGTCTCGGTGTGTAGCCTTCCTGTGCATTGTAGGGTGTTTGTGGCATCCTGGGCCTTGACCCACTAGATGCCAGTAGCCCTCTCCCTCGTACAGTGTTGACCACCAAATGTGTCACCAGACATAGTCAAGTGTCCTTGGTCTAGATCTGCAAGAGGCTTGGATGAGACTGACCATGTGAGGCCCTCCGGTGGGTACCCAGCACTGTCAGAGCTACATGGTCCCAAGGACAATGTGATTTATTTTGGAATGATTATTTCATCATAACTCAAATGCTAATCATGGTTGAGGTACAAGTGAGACCAAACAGGGATCTGAACCAGGCTGGCTGACTCCAGAACTCCTGGATGGGTCTAGGCTGGGGCTCCTTAGGGCTGGGGTTCCGGTTGCTGTGAGGAGATGAAAGGACCTTCCCAGCTGTCTCTGACTTTGGGAGCTTCCTAATGGGGCCTAGGGATTCCTTTAGGAGCCACGGTGATGGAATTAGGGAAGTGTTAACTGCAGGGGGAACATGCCTGACCTCGGGGTCCCCAGTGAGGCGGGAGGGCTGTGGCTGGGAGAGTAACCCACTCCGCCATGCCTTGGCATCAATAGGCCCCCCTCCCTGCCTCAACATCCCCCCCATTCCTGGAGTGCAAGGACCAGAGTCACACAGTGGCCACAAGGGCCTGAGGATCCTGGTATGGCTCTCACTGCAGGTGGACAGGAGCTGATGCCTCCAGAGGTCCCACTGGTGCTGCCACTGAGTGGGGGCCTAGGAGGAGGCAAGGCACCCTGGTTTTACAGGGGGGGAAACCAAGGCCCTAAGAGAGGAAGTGAATCGTTCAAGGTCACACAGCGGCTCATTACCAGGGCCATTATCCGGCTTTGTCTGACTTCAGACCTGTGCTCCTGATTCTTCTTTCCTCCTTTGCTGATAATAACTGACAGCCCCCAGTGTAATCCCGGGGACACCACTGGATATGCCCGATCCCATTAACAAGGCCTATGACTCTGCAAGAAGCTACTACCATAGAGGGGGAAACTGAGGCTCAGGAGGTCAAGTGACTGGCCCATATGTGTCATTAGTAGAACTGGGATAGAACTGGAGCCTGAATGACTCCCAAGTCCAGGTGCTGCCTCCCTCTTGGTGTCTGCCAGGCTCTCTGAGCCTCCGTGTGCCTGGCCACACACCAGGCCTTCCCTCCTGGCAACTAAGGAGCAAACATGGCAGGGGGAACCAGTTTGTTCTTGTGCATATGTGTTGGTCAGGGAGCCCACAAGACAGGGCTGTTCAGAATGTCCCTGCCTCCTGAGCGGGATGGAAAGAGTTCCAGGAAATTGGCCCTCAGTGCCCAGCCCCGCCTGGCCCACAGCATGCTGCTGAGAGCAGGAGGCTGACAGCTGGCTGTCCTGTCCCTTCTCTGCCCTTGCTCCTGGCTGAGCTCTGGGTGCAGGAGCCAGCCAGACTTGTCCCTTCAGGCTGTGTGGCTGCCCCTCTGAAGGCCTCAGTTTCCTCCTCTGAGAACCGGGAGCAAATGACACCTTTGTTTTAAAGCTCTGGATTCCCGTGGGGTCTCCGGAGTGAACATGAGAGATGGGTGCCCATGGGTCAGGGTGCTCACAGCCTGGGAACAAACTGTTAGCAGGCATGGAGGCTGAGAGCGAGGTTGCAGGGCTGGGGAGGGCTTCCCAGGGGAGGGGACAGTTGAGCTGGGAACTGAGGTGGGCAGGAGTCACCCAGGCAGGGGGCAGGGAAGGGTCAGGGCCGGGAAGTCAGCTAAGGTCTGTGTAACCAGGAGAGTCGCCTGAAGTCTGGGAGCCTCGATTTCCAGTTCTGTAAAATGAGGCCACAATGATGGGGGAGACCAAGGGCCACTGGTGGGCATAGTAGGTTCGTGTGGATTTTCTGAGCACCCACTGGGCTGGAAGGTGAGGCTCAATGCTTTAGTACGCCCTCCTCTGTGGCAGGCCCTGCCCTGGGCCTGGGCTGGCAAGATCTCTGCTGATTCTCCCATTTCATAGATGAAGAAATCGAGGCTGTGAAATGGCAACTTGCTTAATGTGCTACAGTGGCTAAGTGTGGACCTGGCTTTGAACCAGGCTCTGGAGCTGGCTCCATGGGTCAGTAGGAGCGTTTGGGGTTCCAGTGTGACCCGGAGGCCCTTCCTCCTCTAGCTGGTGCCCAGGGTCACTGGCCCGAGGCAGACCCATGTCTTCAGACTCCTGAAAGAGGCCCCTGTTGCGGCTCCTGCCTGGGGCTGACCGCCAACCGCATCTGGGAGTGGCCACCCCAACCCCTGTCATTACAACGGTGGCTTTGAAGCAGCTGGTGGCATGCTGTTTGCCCACGTGGGAGGGGGCTTCCTGGAGCCCCCACCACTGGCCGAGCTCTTCCTGACTCCCCTCCTTCCCCTGCAGGCTGAGCTGTGCGGACAGACCCAGGGCCAGCATGGCAGATAGACCCAGGGCCAGCATGGCGGATCCTGGTGACAGCCCCCGTACAGGGCCTGGGGAGCTGGCAGAGCCCCCTGGGGATGAGAGTGGCACTTCTGGTGGGGAAGCCTTCCCCCTCTCCTCACTGGCCAATCTGTTTGAGGGGGACGAGGGCTCCTCTTCACCCTCACCCGCTGATGCTGGTCGCCACGCTGGCCAGGGCGATGGGCGGCCCAACCTGCGCATGAAGTTCCAGGGTGCCTTCCGAAAGGGGGTGCCCAACCCCATCGACCTGCTTGAGTCCACTCTGTATGAGTCCTCGGTGGTGCCTGGGCCCAAGAAAGCACCCATGGACTCACTCTTTGACTACGGCACCTACCGTCACCATCCCAGTGACAACAAGCGGTGGAGAAGAAAGGTCATAGAGTGAGTATTGCTGGCTGCCTGGTCAATGGTCTCCTCTCTGAATTGAATCTGTCCATCCATCCTCCGTGCATGGGATTAGTGGATGAACATCCAGAAATTCATCCGTCCATCCATCCCCTCATCTATCTGTCCATCTACTAATTCATCCATCATCTATCTATCTGTTCATCCATCCATCTACTCCTTTATACAACTATTTACCCATCTCTCTTTTCATTCATCCATCAGCTTTTTCATTCACCTCATCATCAACCCACCATTCATCTACCCATCTATCCACTTGTCTGTTCGCCTATCTAACCAACTTTTCCTTTATTCGTTATCATCCACTTATTTTTATATCTAGTGATCTATCCAGCTATCATCTACACATCTGTTCATCTAGATGCCTGTCTTTCTACTTGTCCAATCCACCCATCCACCTTCCACTGATCCCAATGTCTATCTACGTATGTGCCCATCTGTCATCCCTATGCAGCCATCTACCCATACAACCTGCTTTCCATTCATCTGCCATATACTTGTCCAGATGTACGTCTGTCCTCCAATCTGCCCACTGTTTCTGCTCGTCCAACCATTCAGCTATCAAACTATTCAGAAATCGTTCATTCATTACATTTCTAATGCTTGTAGGCCTTCTTCCTTTCATTCCCCTCCCTTCTTCCCTTCCTTCTTCCTTCTCCCCTTCTCCCTCCTTTCCTCTCTTCCTCCTTTTCTTTCTTTCCTAACCACCAATTAATCTATCCAGCTCTCTGTCTACCCATTTATTCATTCACTCATTCATTTGCCTACTCGCTGACTCATTAATTCTCTCATATTTTCATCCACTTCTCCAAGTGTCACTTTTATTCCTGAGCACCTCCCGGCTTTCTGGGGCTCATTAACAGATGGCGGCCTCGAGACATTAACCCTTTCTCCTTCATGAAGGAGGCCTGGCTGAGAGCACTGGAGAGTGTGGAGAAGCCCGTGGGAACAGTGCACAGCCCTTAACGTGCATTCTCTTCCTGACTTCACTGGGGACAGAGCCGGGACCCCCACCCCACCCCAAGTGGACCACTTCTCCTCTAAGGGGCTCTGCTGAGCTGTGCCTTGCTGTCCACTCTCAGGCCTTTGCCTGGCATCTACATGTGGTTTTTGTGGCATGCCACAAGCCTAGGTGCCTGTCACCACCTGATGAGGCTGAGCCTCCTTCCTGGTCCCTTGGGGAGACTAGTTTCTTCCCCATATTTAGTCTCATGTCTCTCTTCTCCAGGCTCCTGCTGAGTGCGTGCAGTTCATGGACCTTTCTGGGTCCTTCTTTGCTGTCCCTAACATGCCCCAAATTGACCCAGACTTGGACACTAGCCCCTTTTCTGGGTGGCCACTGTGTGTCCAGTCTGGAGATGTCCTGTAGAGGTCCAGTTCTCCTCCAGGCCTCACTGATCACAGATTCGATTACCCTTGTGGTGGCCCAATTCCCTCTCTCAGTCTGTGCCTGGCCAGGAGCCATCCCTTTATTTATTCAGCAAGTCAGATTCATGCCTGGGTATTTCTTGGGCACCTACTATGTCCTAGGCCAGTGGTGGTAAACTCATGGCACGTGTGCCACAGTGGGTACACAGCCCTGTCTGTTGGCATGCAAACTGAGTCATCCCAGCAGCAGTTATTTTTTCTAAACTAAAACTTCAGTATTCAGGTTTAATCGCAGTGTTGGCACTTTGTAATAAATAAGTGGATTTTGGGTTGCAGTTTGGGCACTCGGTTTCTAAAAGGTTTGCTTGCCATCCCTGTGCTAGGCTGTGCAGTTGCCCTGGGGGGAGCTGGACCAGATTCTGCCCCGACTCAGATGGCACCTGGGTCCTGTCAGACCAGAAGCCAGGAAAAATAGGCACAGAAGAGACAGCACTGAGGCTGGAGGGAGGGTACAGGAAGGTGGTCCTGGACGGCTTCTCGGAGGAGCTGACATCTAGGCCCAAGGCTGAGGGATAGGCAGGGAGGGGCAGCCCCGCATCAAGGAGGGTGTCCCAGCTTGGGGAGGCTCGGGCAAGGGCTGAGACAGGCAGGCCCAAGGACCATGGCCTCCCAGTCAGTCTTGCTGCTGGATACTTTGCAGGACCCTTGCTTGGAGGGGAAACTGATTCCAGGGCAGCAGAGTGCCCCAGTGTCCCTCCCCCTCCATCTGTCCCCAGGCCCTCCGAGGTCTTGTTGGATGCTGGGGGCTCAGTGTCTCCTGTCCCCTCCCTCAGTCCTTCCAAGGCCTCACACCCCAATAAGCATAGTTGGAGGCGGTGGAGGGGCCCTGGGGGAACTGGGGTGCAGCAGCCTCAGTGAGGCCTGGCAGGGGCAGTGCTCAGGTTCCAAGCTCAGGAGCCATGAGACGGGGCTGGCAGATGCCCTGGTTAGTGGCTGTCCCAGCATGTGCCCTGTCCATGAGGGAGCACCTCTTTCCCCATGGGGGACCTCCTTTCCCGGGACCCCCATCCGGGCCCTGGGCAGCAGAACCAGAGCAACTAACTGGCTGCTCCCTCCAATGGGCAGGTGGCAGGCTGAAGCCAAATGCCAGCTTTGCTGACCCCCACAGCCTGCCCTGCCTCAGTCTCTCCAACCCTGGCCCTGCTACAGCTCTCTAAGGGTTTGCTCTCTGCTCTTGCCCCTGCCTCTCCCTCTCCCTCCCAGACTGTCTGCCTCCATTTCTCCTCTGCATCCTCTTGTGCCTTTCTTTCACCGATTCTGATTCCCCTTGGCTGGGTGAGAACATGACAGAGAGAGGAAGGGTTCCTGCCTCAAGGTGCCCCAGACTGGCTTTCTCTCCCAGAACCCAGCCCACCCCATTAATGTTTGTTGAATGACCGAATTGAGTCTCCAAGCCCTCCGATTCACATCTGTTTTTCAGTTTACTTTCTCTCCCTCCCTCCCTGAACCCTCTCGGGATGAAGCCCTTTCTCCACCCCGCTGGGGCTCGGCATCTCTCCCTTGCACAGGTGAACAGCAGGCACGGCAGGCACTCGGCAGCAGGGGTAATCACAATAACATTTACTGTGTGGTGGGCCCTGGGCTCAGTACCTATTAGCACGGCCCCGTGTGTCCCAAATGTCTGTTGAATGAACGAATTAGTGCGTGAGTGATGGAATGAATGAATGAGATACTCTGCCTTTCAGTTTTTTGTTCTTTATTTTCTCTGTCTCCTTCAGTCCTTGTCTGCCTTAGTTTGTACTCAACAAATGACAAGTGGATAGATGGGTGGATGGGTGGATGGATAGATGGATGGGTGGGTGGGTGAGTGGATGGGAGTGTGTGTGGATAGATGGGTGGGTGGGTGGATGCATGGGAAGATAGATGGGCAGGCAGGCTTGTGTTTATTTCTTTCTGTTTTTACGCAACACACAGTAGGTACAAGGCATGTTTTATTGGATAAAACATTCCTTGGTGTTTCCAGCTATCCTTTCCCCTTAGTCCCTTAGTCTGGTCCTTCCCTGTGGCTTCAGTTCCCGGCCCCATCCCTGGATCCCTAAGTCAAGAGACAGTGGGGAACATGGGGGACAAGCACCCCACCACCCTTCTTCCCTACTCCCTCCAGGAAGCAGCCGCAGAGCCCCAAAGCTCCTGCACCCCAGCCACCCCCCATCCTTAAAGTCTTCAATCGGCCCATCCTCTTTGACATCGTGTCCCGGGGCTCCACCGCTGACCTGGACGGGCTGCTCCCTTTCTTGCTGACCCACAAGAAGCGCCTGACTGACGAGGAGTTCCGGGGTGAGCCACTCAGGCGGGCATAGCTGGGGGCCTGGCATTGGGAGTTCCATTTCCCCTCAGCATTTCCTCTTGGGTCAGAGGACTCCAGATGAGCACTGTATAGGGAGTCTGGTCCAGTGTGTCCTTTGCCATGTTGCTTAACTTCTCTGGGCCTTGGCTACCTCCACTGATTCCTTCTGCCTTTATGAAAAGGTCAGTGTGGTAGGTAAGCAATCTATCCGAATGGGTTCAAATCCTGTGTTCACCAGTTAAGGTGCATGTGACTTCTCAGCGCTTCAATATCCACATCTGTAAACTGAACAGTCACACCAGTGTGGGCCTGACCGCTGAGGAAAGATTGCTCCATAAAGTGCCAAGCACAAGACAGCTGGGGTCCTCTCTGAGGGGAGCGTCTGTCTGGGATTCCTGCCTCCACTGTTGGGGAGCCCCCCACCCCATCCCAACCCTGGGCATCCCTGCTTGGGATGACACCCAGCTCACTTCCTGCAGCCCAGAGTTTGGCCTCCAGCCTTGTCTAAGCCTGTAAATCAGGGGCGGTGGCTGCATCCCCTTTGTCCAGGTCAGCGCCATCATGGGCTGTGGGCCTCGCAGCCACGATCACGTGGTCAGATGATCCCATAGCGCAGTATTCAGTGTTGAAGTGTGGCACCTGCTGCAAAGAGGGGCCTGTCTCAGGCTGGCTCCTGTTGGTGTGCAGCTCAGGTCTAAGAAAGCTTCAGGCCATTTTTCGAGACTTTAGTTACTTTAAGTAAATTAAATGCCAGAACAAGGTAATGGAGTCCGTGGGTCAATTCCCACACAAACATTTATCAATCTGATTCTTAACAGAAAACAATACAACGCAGTGTCTTTGTGTCCCTCAGTAGAAAATGACGATTTATATTCACTTGTGCTGGGTATGCTGGTCCACTCTGTGGTCCACAAGTTCAAGCCCAGCTTGGGCAGCTTAGTGACTTAGCAAGACCTTTTCAAAGAGAACAAAGGGGCAGGAGGCACTGGGGATATAGCTTAGTGTAAAGGCCCTGGGTTCAATTCCCAGTACCAGGAAAAAAATTTGTTCATGGTGCCAGGTCATGGAAGGCAGCCTTGTTTGGGGGCACAAGTGTGGAGTGGCCCCTCCAAGGGGAGGGGAAGTCGAGGATCTCTTGCTGCCTCTGAATATCTCCGTGGCTGTGCGGGTGAGCTCACTGGGAAATAAGCTCATCTAAGCCCCAGCCAAGGCCCCTCCTGGCACACCCTATTTGTCTGGCAAAGCTGGGGCTTGCTAAGGCTTCTGCCTTCTGAGTTAACTAACACCAAGCAGCGGCTCCCATCTAGTCCGGAAACCCCAGACATGCGCGTTTGTGCATGTGCATGTGTGGGGGCGCCGGTCCCAGAGGTCGCAGAGGTCAGTGTGGGTGTGGAGGGGGGACTTACCGGGCTCACGATGCTAATTAAGCTGCAGGGTCCCTGGCTTGCTCAGCCCCCTTCCAAAGTCCTGGGCCTACTTTTGCATTCATATTTGTGGGATTTTGTAACCAGGGCTCCCAAATTGTACAAGCCCGAGGCTCCACTAAACCTGCATCCGCCCCTGCATTTTTTATAGCTAGAGGCCGATGAGCTCATCTGATTTTCAGGGGAGCTCCCCCCCCCCCCCAATTCACAACGTCCTATTTGGCAATTGGCAATTTAGAGCTCTTGGCTGCAGCAGCCTCTTGGACTAAGACACTGCCACCTGGTGGCCAGGCTGTGGAACTGCGTGTCTTGATCCATCTGGGCAGCCTCAGCTCCTCCTCCTCCTCCTGTCTTTGCCCAGGGCTCAGACTATAGCTATGTTTGAAGGTCTGGAAGCCCAGATCCAGGGCCTGGTTCCATTTTGGATCACTTGTGATTTGGGGTTACCTGGGGTGCCCAGCTCTCCGACTTCTGCAATTGGTTATTGGGCGCTGTGCTAGCAGGGGGTAAACAGTGACAGGAGCTGATGAGTGAAGCCGATGTGACCTGGCCTTCAAGTGATTCACAAGCTCCTAGGGGAGACTGCATTGGCCAAGCAATCACAGAAATAAACACACAGTCGCAAACAGTAATGGCTGTATTGGAGGATTTGAGCTACCCAGAGGAAATCCCGGAGAACATCTTGGGGAGAGGACGCTTGAGCTGGGTCTGAATGAGTTGCATTAACCTGGTGAAGAGAAAAGCGAGGAGTGGGTGAAGGGACAGCATGCACAAGGGCCCTGCTCAGGGAGAGTTGCACCTCTGAGATGACCATTGCTACTGCTAGGTGGAAAGTGGGCAAGGGAAGGCCAGAGAGGCCAGGGACAGCCAAGGTGTCTTGGGCATGTGCAAAACAGACACTGGGCCAAGGTGGTGGCAGCGAAGATAAAAGAGCTGTAAAGAAACTGGAGAAAAAGGAGACCAATGAACAGGACATGCTGGGGGTGGACCTGGCAGAGCAAGGAGGGCAAAATCAAGGCTTCTTGCTGGACAGGGGCACTGTGCTCTGAGATGAGGACACATGCAGGCTGGAGTGGGCTGGGGAGGGATAGGTATGAGGCTGGCAAGGACAGCTGCCAGTCGCTGGACAACAGGAAACGCTGATGAAGGGGCTTGATGGCCCTGAGGCCAGAGCGGTGCATGGTTGTCCCTGAGTCTTCACACGATCCCAGAGGCAGCCCCTGGCTTACAGTGATGGGCAGTCAGAGTCACTCATTCAGGAAATCCTCACCTGGTGTCCCTTCTGGCCTGGGAGCCCGAGGTACAGCAGGAAGCAGCTGGGGACCAAGGCTTGTCCAAGCAACCTTGCTCTTGGGGTCTGGGCCTAGAAGTCGGTTGTCCCCAAGGCTTTTAAATTCTTTCCACTACTTCTTGGCATGCAAGGAAAAGGTTCCTAAAGTCCCTCCCATGGGAGAATAATCACAACATACATTTATTTATGTATTCATTTATTCTAGTGCAGGGAATTGAACCCAGGGCCTCCTGCATGCTAGGCAAGCACTCTACCACTGGGCTGCATCCCCAGCCCTTTATTTTGTATATTTTGAGACAAGCTCTTGCTAAGTTGCCTAGCCTGGCTTTGAACTTCCCATCCTCCTGCCTCAGTCTCCCAAGTCCCTGGGACGTCAGGTGTGTGCCACTACACCCAGCAACAGCAATATTTATTGAGGGCTCCTATCTGCCTGGTTCTGGGCTAGTCAGTGACTATTGACTAGCTCATAGAATTGTCTTCATAGCTTCGATTTAACTAGAAAAGAAAGTAAGCAGAGAAAGGGTCGCAGGCGGTCAGGAGCAAAGCTGGTACTGGAACCCCAGGGTGGGTGGCTGCAAGTGGCCCTCGACCCACACCTGGTCTCCCACCCCAAGGGCAGTCCTGGGCCCTCAATGTGAGGTTGCCTTCCCCAGGCCCATTTCACATGGGAGTTTTCTTTTCACTGACTCACTCTTTTGAGATAGAAATCAACTTCTGTAACCAGAGAAATAATTACAAGGAAAAGAAAATCACCAAGGGACATTGCAGGCCTTACTGAGAGGCAGCGAGGACCCAGAGTCCCAAGGGTACACTGACCTCACGAACAGTTTGATGGGTTAATACCTTCGGTGTTACTGTCCTTGGAATCCCCAAGACTTGCTCCCACTGCCTATGGTGATTCACATCCTCTGCATTCAGCATACACTTTGGGGCACATTGCACCCTCCACTCCCCTTCAGGGCACCCGTGTAATTGTTTCACGGGGAAAGGGATTCTGTGTTCCAGTAAATGGGCAGATGCAGCCTAGTGTTTCTTGCTTTCAGAGCCCCACAGTCTCTGTTAAAGGCCCTGAGAAGTCCTGCAGTAAAAGAATATATTTGACTTTGTGCTTTGTTTTGTTTTATTTTTTCTGGGACTGAGGATTGAACCCAGGGCCTCCCGGAGGCCAAGAAAATGCTCTACCACTGAGCTGCAACCTTGGCTTGGTTGACTTTAACTCTGCATTCACATATATTTTTTTTACAAAAAATTCCCCCAAATATGATTGATTAAAATATAGGCTGTGGTCTCCCACATTTCCAAGCATTTCTACTCCCATGAGTTTAGCATCATAAGAGGCAGATAGAGTGGCCCCGTGTCCCTACCAGACAGATGGGGGAACAGCCTGGAGAGGTAGCATGACAGAGTCCAGGGCCTCTGGCTTCCTGCCCAGCAGCCCAGGGCTGAGCCCGCCTCATCCTATACTCATTCTCATTCTGTCCTCCAGAGCCATCCACGGGGAAGACCTGCCTGCCCAAGGCCCTGCTGAACCTGAGCAATGGCCGAAATGACACCATCCCTCTGCTCCTGGACATTGCTGAGCGCACAGGCAACATGCGAGAGTTCATCAACTCGCCCTTCCGAGACATCTACTACCGAGGTGGGGCCCCGGGGAGGTGGAGAGGGCATCCAAAGCCACATATCCTTGCTCATCTGACCCCTGAGAGCTTTGGTTTGGGCCTCAAGTGCTAACACATACCCAGGAAGTCACTGTTGAGTGAGTGAGTGAGTGGATGGATGGATGGATGGATGGATGGATGGGAAATGACTATCTCTGCCACTCTGACGTTTTGAGCTTTGGAATCAGAAATGCCAAGACTGGAGATGTGGTGAGCCTAGTGGTCTGTGAGCCCGGAATTCTGGACCTAGGAGGTGATGGGATTGAACATGGAGGCTCTGTGGAAATGAACCTGAGCCAGCAGTGCTGGGATGAAGGCAGCAGGTGCCCGAGCCCTCCTGTTCTCGCTTCTGAGAGTCTATGAATCAAATCTGGCCTTTCAGATTCCTTGATGTTAACATTCAACGTCCATGACTTTTATATGCCAAGTTGAAAATTCTGTGCAGCAAGCTGCCTTTGTTTCCTGTTGGATTAAAGCAGCACATGTGTCTGAAAAGCTCTGCCCACTGGGATCCCACAAGTTGGATAGCCTTTGAACTTAAAATTCTACTTCTACAATGCACAGACCTAGGGCTTTATGCGCCCCCAATTCTACATCCTGGGAAGCATATGGAGCCCCGGGTACTACCTTCTGATGTTGCTGGCCAAGGCTCGGGCCTGCAGCCCCCACCTTGATTTTCATATTCAGTACCCCACTTTTTACCCCAAGCAAGCCTGGTGGGGTCTCTGTCAAGGCGGACCCCTGGATGACTGTCACCCCACCCCCAGGCCAGACTGCCCTGCACATCGCCATTGAACGCCGCTGCAAACACTATGTGGAGCTCCTGGTGGCCCAGGGAGCTGATGTGCATGCCCAGGCCCGTGGGCGCTTCTTCCAGCCCAAGGACGAGGGTGGCTACTTCTACTTTGGTGAGAAGGGGCCTGCTGGGGCGGGGGGCCCAGGGGAGCTCAGGGTAGGAGATATGAGGTGGACTGAAAACAATCCTGGCCACCCCTCAGACACTCAGAGCTGCGCTGGCCACTGGCCTATGTGGGTCTTGCCCACTGAGACCTTGCATCTAAGGGGTGAGCAGTAGGGAGAGCTTGGGAATAGGGGCTCAGCTTCCTCATCTGTGTAGACAGGCTCTTGAGAACATCCAGCACGCTATGCGGTGTCAGCACCCAGCACCTACTTTTCATATCCTTATGCTGGAACCAACGGTCAAATCCTCAGCCCCAAACTCCATCACTACCATATTATCACAGTTGGACTAAAGAAATATTTTGAATATCACCCCTGCTTAGGGGTACATGTTATGTGAGGCTCAGAGACATAGTCCCACAAAGAATTCCACCATCCATCGTAGTAGTCCAGGCTTCCACTGACTCCAAATCACAGCTACGCCCGTGAATAGCCATACTGGATGGCTACACCCAAATAACCGTGCCTCAAGTAACCACGCCCACGAATAGCCATACCCCCAAATATCTATGTCCTCAAATACATCCCAAATAGCCATGCCCGCAAATAGCTACATCCTGAATAACCATGCCCCTAGTGGGGACAGCCTGAATAGCCTCACCTATAGGTAGCAATATACCCAAATACCCATGTCCCCCAATACTCATCCCAATTGCCTGAATAACCACATTCAGGAATAGCCACGCCCATGAGTAGAAACCTCCGGGTCCTCAAATATTCATGCCTCCAATATTGTGCCCCAAATTAGCTATGCTCCGATTGGCCACACCCCGCCCGGATCGCCACGCCCATGAGCTGCCACCCCACCCTCCAACCACCACTGGCCCCGAATCCCCTCCCCCCGAGAGGCCACGCCCACCTCCCACCCCGGCACGACTGTGTGGTCTTCGTGGCTGTAGGTGCCTTGCGCTTGTCCGGCCCCAAGGCCGGGGTGTCTGTCCGCCCTGGGCCGCGCACTGATCTTCCCCGTCCGCCCGCCTTGCCCGCAGGGGAGCTGCCACTGTCGCTGGCTGCCTGCACCAACCAGCCGCACATCGTCAACTACCTGACCGAGAACCCGCACAAGAAGGCCGACATGCGGCGGCAGGACTCGCGCGGCAACACCGTGCTGCACGCGCTGGTGGCCATCGCCGACAACACCCGCGAGAACACCAAGTTTGTCACCAAGATGTACGACCTGCTGCTGCTCAAGTGCGCCCGCCTCTTCCCCGACAGCAACCTGGAGGCCGTGCTCAACAACGACGGCCTCTCACCGCTCATGATGGCCGCCAAAACCGGCAAGATTGGAGTGAGTGGGGGCAGGCCCGCCCGCGCACACACACACACACACACACACACACACACACACGCTGCTGCTGCCGCCAGTCATTATTAATACGTGCACCCACCTTCCAATTTGCCAGTCCCAGTGTGCAAATGTCTTAACTCAAGAAACTGCTATGGCTCCCTAGTGTCCAGCCAAGCTACTCAGCTTCATCCCAGAGCCTCTCACTGGGCGCTCACCCTCTGCTCCACCAGCCAGGTTCAGCTGCTGATATAAAACTGAGGCTCAGGGCCCCAGCTCTGTCCTCCCAGCTCCTAACCTGTGGAGTAGCCAGGCACAATGCTTCCCCTCTCTGGGCCGCACACTACAGGACCTAGAACCGTTTTCAGTCTCAGCACCGCCTTTGGACTGGATGGTTCTTTGCTGTGGGGTGCCCTGTGCGTGGTAGGAAGCTTAGCTGCATCTCCTGGCCTTGATAGACAGGCTGCCTCTTTCCCACTTGTGACTGCCGGAAGTGTCTCAGGCATTGCCAGGTTGCCATTGCCCCGATTGAGAGCCAAGCCTGGGGAATAACTGCTTTGGCCCTGGCTCTTCATCTTCCCTTCGTGTGGGGTCAGGCCTTGGATCTCCCTTCTTTGGGCCCGAGTTTCCTTGTCTATAAAATGGGGCTAATAATAGTGCCCTCTGGTATAGTGTTACTGTGACAATTAAAGGAGGTGAGCCACATAAAAATCTTCAAAAGAGCTCAGGTAGGAAGTGCTCAGTAAGTGGTAGGGCTATGACTCCATTAAAAATATAATAGAGCCAGGGATTTAGCTCAGTGGTTCCCGCACCTGCCTCGAAAACGCAAGGTCCTGAGTTCGATCCCTAATATCACACACACACACACACACACACAAATATATATATATGGCTGGGGTTGTAGCTTGTAGCTCAGTGCAAAGGCCAGGTTCAGTCTCCAGTAAACACCCCCTAAAAAGCAAAAATTGCCAGGCATAGTGGCTACTGGGGAGGCTCAAGCAAGAGGATCTTGAGTTTGAGGCCAGCCTGGGCAACATGGTGAGAACTAGTCTCAAGGAAAAAAAATATGTGTATGTTCATGCATGCATGCATGTATTTTATGTATATGTTTAGCAAAAGCTACTACAATCACAGTTGTACTAGAGTTCTGAGGTGGGAGGGAAGACCACCCCTACTTTGTCCTACTATACTGTGTGACCTTGGCCAGTTCCTCCTCATGCCTCAGTTTCCCTGTGTGTAAGGTAAAGATTGCAGTGATAGTAATAGGACTTTTACGGTCAGGATTAATGTGTTAGTAAGAAGATCGAGTCATTGCTGTTTAACTCCACAAGGAAGGTCTTTTTCATCGCTAGGACGGTTAAGCCTTGCCCAGGTTTGGCCCTGGCTGTGTGGCCTCGGGGAACACCTTTGTGCCTCCGAGGCTCCTTTGACTCATCTGTAACCCCAGATGAGAGTAAGAATGAAACGAGATGATGGCACAAGATGTGGCGAGCAGTGGTGCTGAGTGGTTTCCTGCACTCCGTCCTGGTCTCTGGGGAACAGAGAGGGGCCGAGTGGCAGACTGCCCAGGGCCCTCTCCCCACCTTGTCCCGTGCAGATCTTTCAGCACATCATCCGGCGGGAGGTGACTGATGAGGACACACGGCACCTGTCCCGCAAGTTCAAGGACTGGGCCTATGGCCCCGTGTATTCCTCGCTCTATGACCTCTCCTCCTTGGACACGTGCGGGGAAGAGGCCTCTGTGCTAGAGATCCTGGTGTACAACAGCAAGATCGAGGTGGGCACCAGGGCACGGTGGGCACGGGGAAGGAGGGGGGCGGCTGGGAGCATGGACTGGGCTGGTGGGGCTTGAGAATCCATACCTCTGTGACCCAGAGTCATGGGTCTGGGGGCTGAGCGCAAGGGAAGGTGCCAACTAAGCGCCCAGAAAGTGTCTTTGGGGCCTTAAGGAAATAAGCAAGGCTTGGGGTGCAGGTGGGCTTGATTGGGCTCTTCTTGGCTCTGCCACTTTACATGCTGTGACTCAGGATGATGACTTACACTCTCTGGGTCTCTGCTTTCTCATTTGTTACCTGGGGAGAAGGATAATGTCTACCCCACAGGGTTGTTGGGAGGACCAGATGGGTTAATTTTAGAACACAGTATAGACATTGTGTGTCAGTGTTATCATTAGTGGTCCTTACATGAAGTTTCAAAAGCCCCTTTCTTTCACTTTGTGTTTTGTGAACATCGTTCTGCACTATTAAATACTCTTCTGAAATACCAATGCTGCATGTAAATAAATGCACACACACTAATGACTCATTCCTCTGCTGTTGGTCGTTTGGGTTGGTTTCTGCCTTTAACTATAAGGAATAAGCTACACAAGCATTTTTGTGGCTGTACTGTCACACAAATCCACAGTTAGGAAGAAATTCAAGTCATTAGAGATAATTGGATGTTGCACAAATGAAGCAGAAAATGCTGGGGAGTGGGCGTGGGTGGTCTCCTTCCTAGCCCTGCCCTGTGGCTTATGGCTCTGTAAGCTCAGCTTTCCTTGAAAGACCACACTTCCTTCCTCTAAATGAGTAACCAATTTGATTCAGATCAGGGTTTGCAGGTTTAGTTTAGCATTTCTGGTGCAAACTCTGATTGATTGGTAGAGTCTACCCAGGGAACTGCAAAGAGCACTGTTGTGCAGGGCTCAATTATTGATGTCTGGCCTGGATTCAGAATTGGAGAATTGAGATGAGTTAATCGTTTATCAATATTTGAGCTAAATTTTCATCTTGCTCCCTGGATTAGAATTTGAGGATGGAGCCCAGGCATTTATGTTTTTTGCCAACAGCACAGTACTGTTCACAGATTGGAATTTGATTTTGCTTTTGCCTTTTTTTTTTTTTTTTTGGTACTGGAGATCGAACTTGGGTCCTTGCGCTTGCAGGGCAGGCGGCAGAACCACTGAGAGGATGTACAGTGTCAGCCTCTTTTTTTGTAATACTAATTGACATTTTCTTTTTATATGGAATAATTATAAAGCCTTTATTTTTATTGTGCTCTTTCTGTTTACCAAATAAATAGAGGAATTCTTTTTTTTTTTTTTTCCAAATTTGGAGCTTATTTTTGTAGCTTGTATGAGGTATGGATCTAATGTTATCTTTTTTTCCAAATAGATCTCTCAGTTGTCTGCCACCATTTCATTAAGATCCCATCTATGCATCAGTGATTTAAATTTTTGTATGTGCTTGAGTATATTTCTGGATTTCTGCTCTATTCTATTAAACTCTGTCTATTCATTTGCAAGTATTTCACATTTTTAGTGACAGAGATTTGGTAGAATGATTTAATGTGAGGGAGAACTAGACACTCCTCCCTCATGGTCCTTTTTTTTCCCTAAAATATCAAGGTTTCCAGATACTTTCATACTTACTTTCCTACATGGTCTTTATATCAAACTATCTAATTCTATGAAGAATTTGCTGGTATTTTTATTAAATTATTTATAAATACATTTTAGGCATCTTTCTAATGTTGAGTTATTCTACCCAAGAACAAGGACTATCTTTCCATTCATTCATGTCTACTTGTATATGTTTCAGGCCTTTTAAAAGTGCTCCCCATGGGGCTGGAGATTTAGCCCAGTGGTTCTGCTGCCTGCCTTGCAAGCACAAGGACCCAAGTTCGATCCCCGGTACCCCCCCAAAAAAGTGCTCCTCCTATACATTTTGCACATTTCTTATTAAGTTTATATCTAAGCATTTTCATTATTACTACTGTAAATGAGTATTTACTCACTGTTACACCTTTTGATTTATTTTTGTGTATAGAGACGATTGATTTCTCTATGTTAATTTCATATCCTGCTAGCCTGCCTAATTCATTTATTGCTTGAGTTTGAGCATTGATTCTGATTTTCCAGGTATACTACTATATCATTTATAAATAGAAATAGTTTTACTTTATATTTTCCAATTCTGTGTCACTAATCAATTATTCCTGTCTAATTGCATTGGCTCATCCTCTAGTGCAATAGTGAATAGTAGCAGGGACAATGAGCATCTGAATGAGTTTGTTTCTGATCTTAGTGGATAGGCTGTCCGCGTCGTCTTTTAATAGATGCTGGCTTTGGAACTAAAGCTTATATTTTTTCATGGTAAGGAAGTATCCATCAATTTCTAGTTTCCTGAGTTTTTAAAATTAGAAATAAATGTTGGATTTTAGCAAAGGTTTTTTCAGCATCATTGGAGACTATCAGATGATTCTTAATACAATATATTTTATTATAATATTGAATCAACCTTGCATTGCTAGAATAAATCCCCCTTAGTCTTATTGAATTATTTTCCTAACATGATGATGTCTAAGTCTATCTTGTGCTGCTATAATAGAACACCAGAAACTGAGTGAAGTATAAAGAAAAGTATTTCTCACGATTGTGGAGGCTGGGAAGTCCAAGGTCAGGGAGCTGGCATGTGGTGAGGGCCTTTGGTGTGTGAGTCCATGGCAGAAGACAGAAGGGCGCAAGAGGGAGAAGGAAGGGGGCCTGCACTTAGCCTTCTGTGCCGAACCTTCTTACACATGATGAGCCCATCACCCCATTCATGAAGGCAGAGCCTCTGCCTCTCCTTAGACCCGAGTCTTCAGCATGGTTGCACTGAGTATTAAGTTTCCAGCGCAAGCTTTTTAGGGGAGACATTGAAAGCACAGCAGATGCTGATTTTGTTTACTAGTATTTGTATGTGACGCTTGTTTAGGTACCGGTGTTGTATTTGCTTCAGAAAAATAATTTGGAAGTTTACCTTTATTTCTCACGCACCAGAGGAATTTATGTAGCATTGAAACCACCTGGTGTTTGAAAGTTTATACCGCCTGTGAAATCTGGTAGGCCTGGTGCTTTTGTTGTAGGAAATTCCTTTCAAGTTTTCTCTTTATTCTAAGAGTGATCTGTTAACGCTTTCTATCTCTAATGAAATCATTTTGGTAAACGATCCTTTTCTAGGTAATTATCCATTTCATTTACACTTTCAGATTTATTTACGTAACTAATTGCAAACTAGTCTCATGAATTTTTTAAATTTTCACTTTTTAATAGCTATCTCCCCAGTTTATATTTGGGTTTTTCCCCTCTTTCCTTGACTGAGTTAGTTAGTGGCTTGTCTATTCTGTTAATTTTTCTAAAACCCAGAACTTTAATTCCATAAACCTATTGTCTTGCAGTTCTCTATTTCATCAACTTATGAGTTTATCTTTATAATTCTATCTTTGCGCTTTACTTTGTTTTTGCTTTGATGACGTTTTTTCCGTCTTTTTAATTTGCTTTCATTTTATTTATCTGTTTATGGCTATGAATTTTCCTCTTACTGCTTTCAATGTATCAAGTTTTGGCATGTTATGTTTTCATTCTGTTGACTAATTTTAAAATGAGGAAACTCTAGTAATTTCTGAGTAACATAACTGGCTACATCAAAAGAATTAACTTTAGCTCTGAATGGGTTATCCTAGAAATTAAGCCTTTTTTCCTTGGACATACTAGGGATCAAGCCCAGGGGTACTCTACCGCTGAGTTACACCCCCAGGCCTTTTTTCTTTTTATTTTATTTTAACACGGTGTCTTGGTAAGCCGCCAAGAACACGAACATGAACATGAACTTCTGATCCTCTTGCCTCAGACTTCCTCACTGGTGGGATTACAGGCATGCGTTACTGTGCCCGGCCTCAAGCCTTTTCTTTTCTAATTCTGCTGCCAAAAGATGCCAGTTTTGGTAACATTCGTGTTTAACAACCAATTTCTAACAAGATGACACATTATCAATTTGTCCAGAAATAGTTATTGGGCACCTTTTATGGACCAGTCTCCAAGCTAGCCAGACCTGGGGGTAAAACCAGGGAGCAAGACAAACATGGCCCTTGTCTTTGTGAGTCCCCAGTCCACCTAAGAAGACATCTTTTAAACCGGTGATTTCCAACAATTTAGTCATTACCCAGACACCAAACACATTATGGTGAGGGAAGGGGGAGGCAGGAAGTTGAGGGTGGTGGTTTTTCAGTCTCCCCATTCCCACATCCATATGGTAATAGAAAATGCTTTGGGAGTAACTGGCATTGTGTCAAGAGACTTGCAAATGTGAACTTATTTAAACCCTACAGAAACCATTAGGGGTTGGGTACCTCTGTGTTCCATGCTTCACAAAGGGGGAAACTGAGGCTAAGAGGTAAGTGTCTTGGCCTTGATCACATCATTGAGAGTTGTTGGAGTGGACCTTTAGCACCAGGCAGTCCGCATTGTACTCTATGCTCTTACCTGTTTCATCTCATGAGTTTCCAAGCTAGCGGAATTGTGGGAAGAATGCCGAGATCAGTGCAGTAGGAGCCTTTGGGTTGCCACTGACAGCACACAACTGAAACCAGCTCAGGCTTGAAGGGGCATCTGTATGCTTGTGGCTTGCAAAGAAGGGTGGAACAGCCAGATACTCAGCAGACAGGGGTGCAGTTGAGCCTCTGGAGGAACTACAGGGGCAGACTCTAATGCCAGGTGGGCTTTCTCTGTCCGAGACTCCACTCTGCCACTCTACACCTCCTCCTCCATCACAGAAATGTCCTCCCTCAGACTGGAGACCATGGCTGCCATTATGCCAACCCTGTGCTTTCAGCCTGAAAGACTCAGGACTGCTAGGGCCAATTGGAATCCATTGCCCATCCCTGGATCAATCCTTGAACCCAAGTGAGTGAAGGCTGTGAGAGAGAACAGGGTGCTTTCATGGGGAGAACTCCAGGGCAGGGTCACTGGAGCCCTTCTTTATTTTGGAGCACAAACAGTGAATACAGTAAGAATGAAGTAGCCTCTTCCTTTGAGAGTATCCCAGACCAGCAAGTGGGAGGAGTTACAGATTGAAAGCTCCCAGCTATATTGCATGCAGAGTTCCAAGCTACAAATCCATACTGGGGTTTATAAGACGGAAGATTTTAAATTGGGAGAATCAGGAATTCCAGGATTGGGAAATGGGATGGAAGAAGGAATTTCCAGGACAAGAGACCAAAGTATGTTTAAGAGCAGTTGCAGCTGACTGTCTTGCAGGGGCCAAGGTGTGGGGCTTGCTTAGGTTGACACAGACGTGCACAGAAACCTGAGCAGGGCCGAAAAGAGCTTCACACTTTCCATGCTAGCTCTTGGGGGGCTGGACTGGTACCTTGCCCTCCAACACAGGCTCAAGGCTGGCTTGCTACTGCCAGGGGTGGCTTATCCGTTATCCTCCATCTTCCCAGCAGCCCTGCAGATCAAACCTTTGAGGCCCTGTCCTACACAGAGGGACCTGAAGCTTCCGGAAGTCACTTGTCTCTGGGCAGGTCACCCTTAAGTACAGCTCAGCTCTTTCCTTGGTGCCAGTGGTTCCCCAAGTGTTCTTAAAGCTTCTGAGCAAGGTCACCTTCTGAATTAGTCTCAGGGGCAGTGGCCTGAGTTTGTCAGCTTCCTAAAGAAGCTGAGAATAGCTGCTCTGG